AGGAAGTGGGTTCATCAATGGCCAATGTTGGCCCACTAAATACTAATCCTGCTTTTGCTAAGGAACATCAGGTCAAGTATATGTCATTACCCATCTATTTCCAGGATCCATATATTACCAGAATGCCACACTTTCATGCTCCACCCATTATGGAGCCTCATTTACTGGTCTCTCAAGTGCAGGATGAACCCAAGCACCAGCCTCGTTTGTCAACTGCTTTTGTCGATGAGCAAAATACTGGTGATGCTGTAGAAATTGATTCATCTGAGGACACCTAAGTACTCTTTTTTTTTTTTTCCTTCTATCATTATTTAAATCATTACCCTTCTGTAACAATAAAAGCATGTTATATTTTTATCGGCATCATTTTGGCATCAAAAGTATACGTGGTTAGCCTGTTCTATTTCTTAGTTTCTGAAATGTGTTCTTTTTGGTCCTGCAGGATGAATCTGACCGACATGATGATATTTCTGGCTTTATATTCATGTGTAGTAGAAATACAAAGCATGCTTGATACAAATTCCGTGTTTTTGGGCTTCCTTCGAACAAACAAGAAAGGATAGAAAAGATTAAGCCAGGAGCAAAGCTTTTCCTGTTTGATTTCGAAGCAAAGCTTCTGTATGGTGTATATGAGGCAACATCCACTGGAATAATAAACTTGGAACCACTTGCTTTTGGAGGCAAATTTCCAGCACAGGTAAATCAATTTGCTGTCAGTTATTTAAAAATCTGTCCACTTCTTGATTTTTTAATGCATGATGATAGTAAGAAATGGGTTTGGGGCTCAATGTGATTTAAATTCATCCTGCTTGCATTTATGATTTGCTTGGCTCTTAAGCCCCCAAGCTTAAGAATTTCGCTTCTCCCATCTTTCCAAGTCATTGTGCAAGTTCGTAGGCTTTGGTGTGAATAATACCAAAGATAAAGAAGCTTTGAGCCACGTGATACTTTTATTTTTATGATGTTGTCACTATCAGTAGAAAGTCATTGCTAGTTTATTCCCCATCCTTCTGTCTACTCTTATGTGTCTTCAGTGTAAGTTTGTAGCTTGTTATTGTTAGTCACAGGGATATTACTAAGATACTTTCTAAATTGTTACATCCCAAATCTGTTGCCTTTTGCTCAACTTATACATTATTATGCATTTCTAATTCTAGTTTGTTTCTGAATGTTACTCTGTAGATAATTTAGTGTCTTAGACCACCAAACACCGATGTTATAATTGACCATTGAACTTAGAAGTTATTTGATTTGGACACTAGTTATATGTGTATTATAAAAATTGCAGAGATTGTTTATGCAGTGAATAATAAATTTTTTTTGAATCATACAGTGATTAATAACGAAGGATATGTTAAGCGGTAACTAATAATGAAGGGATTGTTATGCAAGGATTACTTACTTAAAAGGACATTTTTGTATTTGGATAATTTAATCCTCGTACTGTTAATATCATATTCTTGTTCAATATTTTATCCTGCATAAATTAATGCGTAAATTCTTGTGTAACTTAATGCAAATATTATTTATTACCACCCACAAAACACTGCATTAGTTATGCAGAGATTTTTTTTTATGTGGCCAACCAAATGCCTCATTAGTTACACTGGGTTTTATGTTGAGATAAATTATACTGATACGATCAACCAAACAACCTCTTAGAGTCTTGGACCAATAAACACCTGACATTGTTGTTGATGAGTGATTCTTTCGTATCGTTTTAGTGAGAGACATATCATAGCTTCCCTTTTTTCTTTTGGATAGCATATCATGGCTTCTTTATTTGTCACATTATTATTATGATTATTTTGTATGTGGTCACTCTACCCCAAAACTTCCCACTCAGGAGCCAACTGTTTTCCTTCCTCACTTTGTTCCCTTGGTTACTCAAACCACTAATCTTGTATATGGAGGTAGGGGGTCTTTACCACTTGGTTATCCACCCCTTGTTATGGGTTCTTTTATTGCTGCAGTAGGTCGTGGACTGGTAAGTATTCCTCGATGCCCACTTCTGTGGAGAATCCATAAATGAGAATGCAGCACGTTCATCCTCCACCCATTGTGGAATCTCAACGAGTCTATGAACTCCAAAGTTGCTCAGCATGGATGGCCTGGAACCACGAGCTTCATGGAGAGTGCTCTTACCGTTGCAGGACCTAAACGTATAAATACAAAATTTATATATAATTACCTTGTTTGTATATTGACAAGCGAAAAATACAAACAGACAAGCAAAATATACAAACGCAGCCTCTATTTGTATTTACTTACCCTGTTTGTATAATTGCAAGGAAAATATACAAATTGGCAAGCGAAATATGACTACAACCTCCATAGCAAACAAAACTATAGCTATAGAACGCAATTACAAAAACTATAGCTATAAAGCCTTATTATATCTGTTGTCTTTGCTATTTGTGAAATTTTCTCAATTTTAGTTAAGCACTCATCCAAACAAACTGATATTTTATGGACAAAGTTAAGTCAGCCCACCATTTCAGTGGACCTCAAAACAATCAATCCAACCCATCCATACATGGGTCGCGAGCTAGGACAGACCTGCCCACCATTTCTTAATACTAGTTTTCGAGAATGTTGCACGTTTGTCCCTTATTATTAAATTTCTATATACTAAAAAGTTGAGTTATAAAATAGGAAATGCTGAAATTAACAATAGTAATTTTACCATTTATATTTTATTCATTAAATAATAAAAAATATACTATGAAGAAAAGCATTAAATAGATGATATACTCGAGCATTTTTTGTTATCCTTCATTTGCCGTTTCTCATTCTCTTTTCTTCTCATGTTGAATTGTGCAATTTTCTTCCTATAGTAACATCAATCTTTGTAATTTGGTTCTTAAAAAACATATTGAAATTTTAATTCTGAAAGTGTTTTTACATAATAGTGGAGAATTGACTCTTCATATTCAACTTTCAATTTTAAAAAATTATGGGTGAGTAATAATTAACATTCAATAATTAGGCAGAAGAATATCACATTCTCTTAAGTAAAATAATATCTCTAAGGCAAAAGTAAACATTCTAATTTGGATAATTACTATTTCCTCCGTCACATTTTATATGTCATCCCTTTCTATAAATAACTGAACCACAATACTTGTCATTTTATAAAATTTATGCATAAATTACCATAGTTTGCCTATTATACCCTTGATAGAATAGTTAATTAATCTTGTCATTTATTAATAAAGTTGACTTAAGAAAACATTAAATAAGAGTAGAAGGGTAAAATTACATCATTTATTAATGCAAGTGCAAAGTAAAAAGGTGACATATAAAATGGGACGAAGGGGGTACTTAACTATTTATGGGTCCAGCCAATAATCTAGAGACCGGAGGTTGACAATTTTCCAGCCATAGTTAAAATTTTACATCAACAATAAATAGCTTATCATCACAGTAAATAGATATTTGATGCATACAATTTATAAGTTCTGAAAGACCTCATCAATTGGTACATGTGCAAATGATATAAACACTTGATATATTACGAAACACACTTGCAGGCATCACCAAAATTATTATGTCAATTATTTTTATTATTATATCACATATACATCTTCTTTTTAACCTTAGAAAAGTACTGTATATATGATTTATGGAGAGAAAAGAATAATACTCTTTTTTTCATAAAAAAATTCTTTGAATAATTAAAATATAAATTGAGCAACACAAACTTTTCAAAATGATATGGTCAATTTGAGGAATGAATGTTTCCACAAATAAATAATAGACTAATAAGGTCAATAGATTATACAATATAAACGAAAAGTTAAATAAAAATAAAGTCTCAAAATCACACACTATGATCCATCCTTTATCTCCAATTCGGTGGCCCATTTTATTTTAGGGTATGGATTTTTTTTAAATCTCATTTAGTTATTCCTCTCTACTAATAAATAATAACCTCGAAAATATATTTATACTAAAGTAAAACACTCTATTCAGAATCACATATCAAATTAATTGATTAATCTTTCATTATGAATTTCATCAATAATTAAGAAATATAGTAGAACATGAATTGTATATCACTAATTTCTTCATGTAGGACACAAGATATTCCAATAGAAAAACAAAATCATAAGAAAGTATATCAAAATATTAAAAAAGGACATACAAAATACTTAGGCTGGACAAGGAGGAGTGGATAAAAACAAAAGGAAATTACTGCACATACAAAATGATGAGCAAGATTAATTTTTTGCTTGATAATCTCTCATCCTCCTCTTATCATTTACATGAAGACCATGCTAGGCATTTTATAGCAGTAGCTAGGATGACCTTTGAGTAGATAAAATTAATTTGTATTAACTTAGTTCAATGATTTTAGTCCATATCAAATTTATTTAATGGAAAAAAATTTCAAATACTCTTGAACTTTACAACAAAAGAGAAATTAATTGTTAATGTAAATTTGATTCATGCACCGATTTAAATGAGTTATTTATTAAATATTTAATTATATTTTATAACATTTTTTTAATTAATTTATATAAGGATAAAATGGTAATTCAACTTTGAGCTTTGATCTTTCCACTTATAATATAAATAATAAAATAATAATAATAATAAAAAATTATATTTTATAACATTTTTTTAAATTAATTTATATAAGGGTAAAATGGTAATTCAACTTTGAGCTTTGAGAGTGAAAATATAAATAATAAAATAATATGATATGATATGATGATAGCCTAAACTTACAAAAAACTTAAATATATAGTTCTTCCGTCCCATATTAGTTTATCATTATACTACATATAGTTATTCCATATTAGTTGATCACCTTATTAAATCAAGAAATTATTAAAAAAAAATTTAATATTACCCTTGTAATTAATTCCTTTTTAAAGTGTTCACATCTGTTTGTAAGATTCTAACAAAGTTTTTAAAGGACGAATTAGTAAAATCATCTTCATTTCTCAAGCACCGTATAGAAATGGAAAGTGATCAACTAATACGAGACTCAGGGTGTATAAGGTAACATTACATAGTATTATTAATCATGTCTTAAGTTCATAATTAAATCATTCCAATAATATAAAAAGGTAGATGCGAGAGAAAGAATGATTTTTTTTTAGCAGTTAGAAAAATTGTTAATTTGTCAAGTACTTATATTATCATTTTCTCTAACTTAATTTTGATTTAAAATTTAAGACTTCATTTTTGGGACTTTTTATTATAATAGCCAAGTACAATTTCAGTTTAAACACCTTTCTTTTTGTTATTTTTCTACTTTAAAAAAAAATCAAGTTTTACCGGTCAAAGAACTTATTTGAAGTGTACTAAAAAGTCTCATTCTTAAATAGGCTAGTAAAAGAAAATATATCGACACAGTAGTCCAAACTCACTTTAACAATTCTAGTAATCGAATTTTGTAAAAAAATTTGAGAAAATTACGTGTCTTAAGTTTATTAATTTTAAATAATGACAATTTCGAAATTTCTTAAGTGAAATGACAGAGATGTTACCTTCGCCATATGAGTTGTTAATTACTCTCTTTTTTAATCAAATAAAATTTTCTTATCTACTTATTTCTACCCAAGACATATAATTTAAAGATGAGATATGAATAATAAATACAAATACCCCTCTATATAAAAATTACAAAACATTTTTTTTAATAAATATATGTCATAAGTCATAACTTAAAACTTCACATAAAAAGGAACAAACTAAATAAATACTTTGCTCTTTTATAAATTAAAAATCTAATTAAAGAAGAGATCATTGATCAAACGTTCAGAGAACTAGGCACATGCCATGGGTCAATACATTAGCACCAAATTAATATTATAATTAATTTTTTATTTTTTTTATTTACTATCGTTTAGTTATAACTAGATATGGGACCCCGTGCTAGCACGGGGCTCAATATATGTTACTGTTTCTGTTTTAATTTATGTGGTACATATGAAATTTGAAATTAATCAATTTTTTAGTATGTTTTTATATATTTTAAGTTGCTAATTATTTGTATTTAGAGTATGTTTTACGTAAATATATTAGAAATCACAATAATTAACAAGTTAATATAAAAAAAAACTTATAAAAAATTCATTGACTTTTGAAATTTCATTTGTATCACATAAATCAGGACCGAGTAATATATATGAAAATTACATAAAACGTACTATAACTCACAATAATTAGCAACTTAAAATATCTATATATCTATAT